TAGGGTCAGATTCTCTACTTCAGCCTGAACAACACAGGTAACAGGCTAAATACAGAAACATGAAAACCCAGCCATGCTATATTAAGAGATTTGTAAACTTACCAAACTAACCAAAGATGGCTATTTTTTATAGAAGTCAAAATGAACAATAGGTTTATTAGTTCGTTTCTTATTTTCTCAGTTTTATTTCCTTCCTCTATTCTCTCTGTCTCTCCCTCTTCCAGGGGTAGACAGGATCTTTCTATGAAGCCCAAGCTTCATATTTTTCAACCCTCCTGCCTCAGCATCCTCAGTGCTGATGTTACAATAAATACAGCAAATGATCACAAAAAGAATTGAGTTAAAATTCTTTATGGCCTTCAATTATCATTTTGTGTATAAAGCGGTCCTAAAGAAAAATATCTGAGAACCACTGAACAAACTTCAGTATGTTAATGACAATATGAAGGAGATTTCAAAGATTAGATTTTAATTCATATATTAAGTTTATTAATATAGTAAATAAAATACTATCTTATTAAAATATACTAATTTATTAGATTTTAAAGCCTATCCTAATATTGATCCATTTAATGAATATTCTATAAGCTTGTGCCATTTAAAACTCACTTCAATGCCATGTCTTTGTGTCATAGCTTAGTGCTGGGTAACTCAAGACCAACTGTCTTCACATTATGGAATTACTGGGCCAACTCTGATCAAACCTGTGGATGAGTGTTGACTTAGGTTACTTGTTTGAATGTAACATGGAATAATACAAATATGTTTTAATTTTAGTTTGTGCTATGAAGAAAGTAAATGTTTAAGTATTCTTTGTCTTATGCTAAAAGTCCTGGATATCTCTAGGAAAACCCATCAGGGAGATCTTGACTGTACCTCTTCCTGAAATGAGGATCTGGTGTGGCATCTCTATAGTTTATCTATAGACTCCAGACTACCTGCCAAAATACATGGTGAAACCAGGGAAGACTGGGTGGGAAGTTCCAACTTCTTGCCCCCAAGTATAAGGAACAAAATCTATTGACTCTTTGAGTTAATAACTAAAAACTGCGAGTGGAGAGCAGTGTGCTTAGAGGCTCAACACAGACTGACCTCCCATCTGTGCCCTGTAGTAGTTCACTTGCCTGGCGCACAGGGAGCTCTGCTCTCAGCTCCTGGGTTGGGAAGGAAAGCAACTGCAGTTAGGAAACAACCCTCCCACCAGCCTTTAGGGTATCCCAGGATCATGTGCACTTCCTATCTTTTCCTTCAGGCTTTTGCAATAGTACAGGCCAGCTGAAGAATGCTGTCCGTGAATTTTTTATAAAAACAATACTCACAATTTTTATGGAATGAAATATTTTGGAGACCCCTAATTGTGTTAAAGGCAAGAGCCCAGAGGAACATAAAATTATGTATGTAATGTTTAGCCATTAAATCAATTAGGCAATTGGCAATGAAATAAAGTATTACAAGGAGGAAAGCACAAAACCAAGCACTTCAGTGTGTCTTCTGTTTGCATTCGAAGAGAGAAGAGGCTCACTGCTGAGACCTAATGGGAGTACAGTGGCCCCAGAGTTCAGCTGGGGCCTCGGAGCTCAATCTGTGGCACATCCCCTCTTCACTGCAATATATTTTTTAAATTCCATTGGATTTAGGAATAGCACCAGATGATGTACTGTAACAAAGAAGTGCAGGGGATAAGTAAAAAGTGGAGGAAATAACCTAACTAAAGAAACTGCAAGCAGTGTAAGTTGGCAGGTTTTATTTAGACCTCTTTTATTTTTCTAGAGAAATTAGGATTCCTTTTTGCCGTTCTTTCTTCTTTGACTGATAGATTATGCTTAAAATAGACCCTAGTTTTCTATTCCTGCTATGAAGCATAGGTTATTTTGCTATAATTATATTTCATTAATAAAAATGATGAAAATATGCAATATCCAATTAAGAGATCAGCCTACATTTTTATCTTATGAGAGTACAAGGCCAACCAGTTTCTATGGACAATTAGTCAATTTCATTCTACCTTCCTTGTATGTTAAAAATAGCTACGAATATTTGTCACTTCTAGTGAAATACTAACAGTCAATCAAATTTGTAACTCCCTTTTCAAGGAGGCTACTCTGTAATATATAATGTCACAATATTTTCAAACTATAGATTTAAAAATACGTTCTAGTATTTTGCAGCAAAAATGTCACTGACAGGCCATCTTTTCTTCATTTGGAGAATGCAAAACCAGAGCAAACAATCAAACGTCTCCACCAGTAGTATATTATACACCTTTCACTACTTCACCTTAAGGTCAAATAAATGAGTACAGCCCCACCTGGCTGGTAGAATGTTGTAATTACCTCTAGTGATCCTACCATGAGTGCCCTGTAGGAGGGAGAAGCCGGACAGTCTAGAGCAGCTGGAAGTCTTTGCCTGAGCCTGATGAGTCTCCCAACTGATTCTGACTAGTGAACTGAATTTGCCTGCATTCTGGAAGGAAAACTATTATATTTAATAGGATGGGATGGTTTCTTTGTAGTTGTTATTGTTGCTGTTGTTTTGTTTTGCTTTTTTTTTCAATGTACTTAGAAAAAACAGTTTCACTCCCAAGTTTATGAACTGTTTCACTCCCAGGCTTATGAACTGTTGCAATGAGTACTTGGCCCATGAGACAAAGAAGCCATGTTGTATCTGTGTGAAATCTTTGTGCATTCCCACAGGAAAGTGGCAAACAAACAAAAAATGTAACTCATCTTAAGAAGAAAAATGTATATTTTTAAAGAATTCTGCCTGTGGAGTAGGTGAGATGACTACTTTAGGTTATTAACTGACTTTCAGAAAACCTGAAGCACAGGCTTCGGGAACAAGCTTCCCACAAGCTGGGGGAGCAGTCGGCTTCTGTGCATGCTTCACTGGGAATGAACCTGAGCTTACTCTAGTCTATTAAAAATGTACTATTAGGAATTTTCCTGGAAAGTTAATATTTCTGTTGTTTGCAAACAAAAAAATGAAATGGTGGAGATCTTATACTGATGATGTGTTTATTTATACTACACATGCACAGTCTGAAAGAACACAGCTTTAATCATTAATTGAAAATCATGCTCTGTAATTCAAGTGCTTATGATCTGGCCATTCTTGCCCTTGGTTTATATTCACCAAGCCTTTGAAATGGCCTGGAACTTACATTTGGAATTCCAAGCTGCCCTAATTACACTGTTATACAGGTTACTTCTTACTTCTTTGAAGATTCCTTTGTGTCATGCATCTCTGCAGGGTGGACGGTTTATGAAGGTTTTGTTTTGGGGGGTCTTTTGGGGGTATCAAAAGTGGAGTGTAGGAGGGAGCAGCTTGTGGAGATGATTGCACTAACCTCATGCTTATCAACATTGTATTGCAGGGCACAGAGCTTGTCAACCCTGCAAAGTAGGGAACACATACTGAGTGCTTATCAACACTGCAAAGTAGGGACAGATACTGAATGCCTATTGACATTGTAAGGTAGGGGACAGATACTGAGTGCTTATCGACATTGCAAGGTAGGGCCCACTTCTAGTTCTAACTCTGAATAAAATACAGAAAGCAGAAGAGACCCCCTGTACACTAGCAGGCCAAGTCTACAATTAGTTGCAGAAGCAAAATCTCTTGCACCTTATTCTAAGGCCCCAAGTCAGTTAATTGGGTCTTCAATTAGCCTCTTGGGTTGTAATCAATTACAAGTGTAATTTCTGTGTGTGAGTGTATTTTGTGCAAAAGTAGTCTCCCCAAAACCAAAGCCTAAGTTAGAGTGAGGTTCAGATCTCTCTTCACTCACTTACAGGCACAGAAGAGCAAAACCAAAGCCTGTGCAGTGCCAGCATTTCCTCACCAATTCCCACAAGTCCTGGGTCAAAGGACAGACTCTGTAATCCAGGAAGGTTTGTTCACTTTATTACTATTAAATTTTACTAATTTAAAATTCTTAGTTTCAGTTATATAGTGATTATAATAATTTTCTTTCATATTACTGTTTAGATGTGATGTTTCTTTAACACACACTGGTATCCAAACAGGCACTCCCACACTTGAGCACTAGTTGTAGCCTAGGATTTTACAACAATAGATCACTGGCTGTATTGCTCTACTTAAAAGGCCTTAACAAAGCGCTAATGGGTAATATTGAAATCTAGTGTTTTTTGTTGTTTGTCAAAACTCTACTAAGTCAGTGTAAAAAATTTCAGCCTCATTCAAGAAATTTCACAGCCTAGGTAGAGGCAGAACAAAGCAAAGCAAGCAGCCAGAAATGCAAATGCCCACAGCAACTCATGTCTGAAACAAACTTCCAGCACAAATTTCTGAGTTTCCCCACGTCATTTTGGCTTACCTATTTTACCACTGTGTTTCAGACAACAGCTTCTAAGTTCCCCAATTCATAAATGTAATTAAATAATTACATTAGTGCTAATTAACATGAAACTGCAGATTATTTAAGCGCAAAAAACACTATTCAACTTCTTAATTATTCTTGTTCACACAGCATTTCCTTTTGCTCAGGCGCCCTAGGTGCAAATAAAACATCCCATCTGCTCGCAATTAGAACTAAATAATTTCAGAGAATGTAGCTTATCATTTTGACTGCACATTTGATTAAAAACAGTGTACAAGCAATATCCTGGCTTATTGGCGTAACAGCAACAACACACACAAGCCTGTGTTCTTCCATCATTAAAGAAGATCGAAAACATTATCTGTTATTTCAGGGGGAAAAATACAACTTTTTAGTTCATTTCATACAGATGAAAGCGAATTACAGCAAATCACCTCTCCACTGAATAGCAGCCCCCACATAATGACTTTATTTGCTTAATCCCCAAATTAAACGCCGTTTCGAGCGAGGGCCCTGTGTTATTACTCTCATCATGTCGAGAACATTTTCCTGCCGAGACCAATTTGAATAAAACAAGGGGCCTTCCTTGAACTCAATCAAGGAGCCATAATGTGGTGGGTAATAGAGGTTGCTGATAGATTTGCAGGCAAAAGTGTTATACCTAATGATGGGATATGGATAATAGTCCTCCTGGAGGTCCTGATGCGACTCCAGTTGGCTGCCAGATGCTGAAAAGCAAGAAGAGCATTGATCAGTGACAGGAAGCTGTAGTGGATTCATCTAGTCAAACTTCAGCTGTTTTTCCACTGTACAGTTAAGCCAGGCATAAATTATATTAATTGATTTAATTACATACTTAAAACATCTTCCCCAATTAATTTAATTAGGTGGCTACATGATGCTACTGGCAGGGGAAGATTAGAGGCAGCTCACTTAATTAACAGAATATGAATGAAAAAAAGAGAAAGCAAACATAAATGAAATTGTGAGCACTAATTAAAAGGCTGTCTGCAAACTTAAATACTTTCTGACAAAGTGGTGACAGCAATGTAGACAAGTGAGGATTTTTTTTCTAGCAAATTAAAATGTCAGAAGGTGTGTGTGTAATATATATATGGGGAAAAGGTAGTGCAGTTAAAACACTGACTTTCTAACACAACTACCATAGTCAAAACAAGAAGCATTTTCTTTTATAGAAAAATTGTAACTGATTTTGCAGGCATGTAAGTTAGACTCTGGGTTAAGACTAAAATATGCTGCACAAACAAACAAAGTTTGTGCATCTTATATTGCAGAGACTTATAGGTACAGGATGCTGGCTGGGGGGGTGGCTGGAGAAGGAAGGGAAGATAAAGAGACAAGGTGTTGCAATTGTTGAAGCAAGAAATGTTTAGAAAGAGAGGTCTGCTTTAGCAGCTGGCAGCCTGGTGCACCTTGGCTCGAATGCGGAAATTCTCCAGGTGTCTCTGACGAGATTCCTTCAGTATCTTCTTTATCCTTATCTTGTGGCAATATAAAAGCCACGCAAGGGCGATCACACCTGAGGCCCACTTCTTCTGGCGATAAGCAATGAAGAATTGTCTCGCCTTGTGACATTTCCATGTGGCTTGGATCTTGATGGCAGCCTCCGTCTTTCCATCTTGGCCCTTGTACCTCTGTCCCGGAAGGTTTAACAGCATTTGGATCTGAAGAGGGTTCTCTAGCACTAACAGAACATCATCTCGGGTAAGTTTATTCTTCAGCTCAAATTCTGGAAGCAGGGCCAACAAATTCCTCCCTTTAACTTTGGCTTCTGATATTGCATAGTCCTTGAGAAACTTCTCAATTTGTTCCAGAAGAGAAAAAATACTTCCCCAGGCTAAACTATAATGTGCCTTGAATGCTAAGAAGTCTGGGGCTGTCTTGTCTATGGTGCCATCATAAATAAAAAAGTCATAATCCCATGGTAATTTTGCAGTCTTTGACGGTGTAGTAATTTTCATAGCCTGGGGAAAGAAAGTTTGCCAGAAGTGAAATATCCTAGGATCTCTTTTAGTGTGATCAACACATGTGAACTAACACTTCATCAATTACCACTTAGAGATGGGAAAATATGGCTTCTAGGACTGATTTCATATATGTACATCAGGATGTCAAAGTAATGTCATTGAAACTCATTACCTAGTAATATCTTAGAGATTATGAGATGTTTAAACTGTTATAAAAGTGTTTCTACATATATAATAAAGATTTATATACATTTATACATTATATAACATATATGTTGATATATAGATAGCTGTTTATAATATATAACTATCTGTTTCCTTGAATCATTTTATAACAGTTTTATATATATGTATATCTTTATATATAATTATAGATAGATATGTAAGATATATTTATCTTTATATGTGGTTAGCTGATCATATCAAAGGAAACCAAAAGCAGAAACTTGTTATCTGTTTCCTTGAATCATTTTATAAATTATATATAGTACAGCTATGTATCTTTATTATTATTATATATAATTATTAACTATATATTACAATTAAAAATTATAAGTAATATATAGGTATCTAATCTCTTACTAACCTATATTTTAGCTATATACATATAATCTTAAAGAATTATGTTGCTAATTACTTGTTTTTAACTTGTCATCAACCCTAAAAACAGGGAAATATACTATTTTATGTGTAAATATCCAAAGAAATCCTTTAGGAGTGGGACAGTGGGTGATATTTTTATGTATTTTTCTGTGTTAATAACATCATAAATTATAAATTAAGTCAAATCAGAAGATATTTGGATGACAAAAGTAAAACATAATATCACCCTCATTTAAAGAAAACCAAACCTGAATCTGGTGGTATAGTCCTGTCATTCCCTTGGAGTACTGAAGAATAAGGATCATATGTTTTCCTGGACTACAGAGTGACTTCCTGCCTATCATATACAACTTAGTAAGAGACCTTGTCTCGAAGTAAAAAAATGAGAAAAGTACTAAAGATAGGTTTCATGGTAGTGCTTGCCTAATAAACATGAGGCCCGAGATTCAAGCCTTACTATTAAAAAAGGAAATTTTGCCAGTAAAAAAAAACAAAACAACAACAACAAAAAACCCCACTGAATTCAATGGTTAGTACTTGTTGCATGAGAAAATGAGACATTCTGCATCAGAATCCAAAAGTTCCTGGTGACCTAGGGAAGTAGGGAGGGAGGAAACAAGAAGGCAGGGGTGTTTCTGCCTTGAATTCTCCTCAGTGAAGAAGGTGTTAACCCACCATGATGACTGTTTCTGCTTACTCAGGGATTTAAGAGGTCAATTACTTCAGCATATCCATTGAACATACATATGCCCATTTAGGGATTATTGTTCTCTGAATTTTTAAGAGCTTTCATAAGACTCAAAGGGCAAAAGAGTGACTTTATCAGTAACAGCTGTACCATGGCAATGCTAGGTTAGGATGGTTCATGCTTTGTCTCAAATAACTGAACTGTGAGTGATCAATAGGTACAAGGCAAAAGCTCCTCTAAACCTTAGAGTCTAAAGACATAGTAACCAAACATGGTCAAATAAAAACTTCAGATTCCTTTCCCAGGTTCTCAGCAGAATAGCGACTACCATCTCAAGTCAAAATCCTAAGTCCAAAAGGGTGAAGGCCCCTGAGTGTTAGACACCAGCTCCAAACAGCAATGAGCTTTTGCACATTTTTAACTGAAGAACTGTTATAAAGAAGGCGTAAGAGCAGTGGAAAAAAGTCCTTTGGCCAAGATTTTCTTCTTTCTAATCTAATCAAGACGCAGAGAATGTAAATTGTTTCACAAATGGAAGTAAATTTCTTCTTCGTGAGTGGGCAAGAGAGTTTGACAAGAAACGCTCCCCTTAGCAGACGTTAGTGCTGGCAGGGTGAGCCGTGGCTGTGTAGAATACGGCAGGTGGCACATGTTCCCCAAGACACGGCCACGGCTGCATTCCTACCTTCCTGCAAGGATGGGTTCTGCTGGCGGAAGGTTAGAACTCAGAGAAGAATGGCATGGCTCCATCAGTGAGAGCAGACATGCAGAATGGCCACAGATGGTCATGCATGGAGCTGGCTGGTCTTGCTAGTCACGTGCTTGATCCAGACCCCTATAAGAAGCAAAGTCTATGGATGGGTGATTTACCAGAGAATCCTGTCTCCTTAAAGATGTTCAGATAATTTCAAAATTCCTTATTCTTTTGGGGGACTAGTAAGGAAGTAGGCTGTCTATGAAACAGAGCAGTCTGGGAGCAGGGATTCAGAAGCAAAAGGACTCCTTCATCTCTCTGAGACAATGCCTCCCCGCAGGTTGGGTCTAGGAGATCTATGCACATCAACAAACATGGCTTACACCTTCTGATAGAATCACCTAAGGTGGAGTGGATTTGTAGACTTTAACAGGGGTTGTTTTAGAACAAAAGGATTACACCTTTTTACCTTCTTGGATGAGATACCTGCTCTCCAAAGAAACATACTCCTGGACATCAAATAGACCACTCAGGTGCCAGGAAGCTCTGGGTTTGGAGTCAGCTAAAGCATAGCTGTAGTACATCTGTCACAGAGAATGCCACACACGGGAGCACTTCAGACTTAGAGCAAAAAAAGACATGCCTCTCAAGAGAGAGGCTTCCCAAATTAAAGCCGTGTATCAGCATTGTGAGACGCACTGAGCAGGTGAAGACGGAGCGGCCTCACAGCCTGCCGGGAATGAGCCCTGATGAAAGGTCATGCCATGCTTCAGGGGCTGCCTCCTGCTGTTCCCCCTGTATCTCCACGACCTGTCTGGTATCGTTTGCTGGTGTCCCTCACACCCTTCTATTTTCTTCCTCTTTTGTTGACAATGCCCTGCTCTCCCAGTGTGATGTTATTAAGGAGCAAGGTGGGGTGGCTGTGTTGTGACATCCTCATCCTCTCATTCTCTTCTTTCTTGGGGCCACAACTACACCTGTCCCTTTGTGAAATGCCTACGCTCTAGACCAATCCACCCCTCCCCCTGCAGCTCAAACCTGTAGCTGTGGCCTAATTATTAGCATCCTGCTCTAACTGACTGAGTCAACTAGCTGGGAAATGTTCTTTTTCATTTGCAAAGTGTTAATCACTAATTAGGTAACTTTCAGAGTTTCTGGAGCAGTTATTTAGGGGAAATTCTAAATCTAAAGCAAAGCAGAGGAAGGCAGGATGATGACGTATGTTAGTAAGACCCAATGGGAAGCAACATGGATAGGCCCAGGACTGCAACTGTACTAGAAAATTTAGGAATATCATCTGCAAAGATGCAAAGAACACATTCAGGAAGAAGAACTTACCTCTAAGTGGATTTGTTGTTGTTGTTTTTGGTACCTAGAATTTCATTCATGCTAGGTAAGTACTCTACTCTTGAGCTGCATTGCCAGCCCTAGGCTAATTTCTTTTCCATTATTGTTGCTGTTGTTTTGAGATAGGATCTCACTCTACAGCCCAGGCTGCCCTCAAACTTAACCCTCCTGCCTCAGCCTCTTGATTGCTAAGATTGCAAGCATTCAGACCTGGAGAAAGGGTTTAATAGTTAAAAATCACTGTCTGTTTTTTTAGATTCCAAAGGTACTTAAAATTTAGAAGATCCAGGTTCAATTCTCAGCTCCCACAGGGTAGCTCATAACAATCTGTAACTCCAGGTTCAAAGGATCTGACTCCCTCTTCTGACCTCCGCAGGTACCAGACATACATGCAAGCAAAATGTCCATATATATAAACATTTTTAAAAATTACAGGCATGCACCATCATAGCAGGCTAAGATGAATTTCTTATTGATGCATTTTCATATATGTGGACAGCAGATAGACAAGGCACCAAACTGATCTCCTAGTGGTGAACAGTGGGACAGCCGGGAAATTTGCTATGAATGCACCTTTACAAAATGATGATCATTCCACTGCCTGGAAGGACAGACTATGATACTCTGCTGCAGAAACCAGGGTTTGGTTTCTCAGTCACCAAAACACGTCCTCTAGGACTGGTCTAGGTAACCATACTGCATATAGTTCTAGCTGAGAGCTTAGACAAAGGGATGAAGAGAGTTTCCCTTAAGTCTTTAGTTTTTTCCCAAAGACCAAAGATGTCATTTGCCTGACCTTGGTTTTTATTCCTAGTGAAGGTCCTCAATGTGTCAATCTTTCTACAAAACAAAGTTGAGACCCTCAGTGGGCTGGAACTGTTCAAAAGACACAACATTCAGAGAGAGGAAGGGAAGGAGGGAAAGAGAGTGGGAGAGGGAGAGGGGAAAGGAGGGAGGGAGAAGAGAGAGAGAGAGAGAGAGCGCTGCTGACTTAATTGGGGTTTAGGAATATAGCATAAGCACGGTTCTGAATTTTAAAACATAAGGGATCTTTTTGTTTTGTTTTGTTTTGATAGGGTTTCTCTGTATTGCTTTGGAGCCTGTCCTGGAACTCACTCTGTTGACTAGGCTGGTCTCGAACTCACAGAGATCTGCCTGCCTCTGACTCCCAAGTGCTGGGATTAAAGGCGTGTGCCACCAACGTCCAGCAAAACATAAGGAATCTTGTAAGTCACTAGTCTTGCCTTTTGCTCAATAGAGTTGTCACTGAAGTCCACTATCCTGGGTTCAAATCCAACCTCTGCCACAGTCTGATGCATACTGCAGGCAACACACTACCCTCTGTGGACCTGGATTTGACCATCTGTAAGAAGGGGAAGTTCACATAGACCTTCCCCAGTGCCTCACCTTGCCACAATGGCTACCATATAGATGGGAAACTGATGTTCATGGTAAATGAGTTGTGTGAGACAGTGTTTTTGTTATTGACAAAAGTGGCCACATTCCTGAATATCCCCCCAATGCATACAGAAATAAAGGGAAGGAATTCCTAGGTGACGCTTACCCTCACTACTTTTCAATGTCTTTCCTCGTTCCTCTTTGTGTTCTCATGGCATTTTCTCATTTTTCTCTTCCATACCTTACCCTATATTGCCCTACCCCCAT